TGGTGGGGTAACCGGACTAGCAATGCTGAGGTTAGGCGTAGAGTTTTAGGCAGTCGCGGTCGTCCACTGGAGCAAGTGGTCGATGGTCATAGATTACGCTGGTTGGGACATGTGCTACGCATGTCACCAGATAGGTTGCCGAGCGATGTGTGCCGAGGCGGTCAGCGGTTGGAAAAAAATCCAGACTGGTGAAACTAAGAGTATCAAAACCCAGGAAATGGACTCTTTCAGGTCGCATTAAGCTTCCTGTCTCGGGACCCCGAGATTACGCTCACCGATGGTTAGAGACACTGAGCGATATGGCTGGGTGTCGCAAACAGTGGCGCTCATGCATCTACCCATTACTCTTGTAACTTTAATCTATGTACGTGCGATATCCTCCTCTTGAATTTGCTTTCAACATTCTAATCTTCATTAGGTTGTTTTATCCAAATGGACAACCAATGAACAGTAACCAAAACCGGCGCACGAAAGTGCATGGTTAATGGTTGTAAGAACTGAACTGAACGCTGAATCAGGAGGGGCGCCGTGTCGCGTTCTTTTCTAGGACATTAACTCAAGGGGGAAAACATCGTTCAGCAGTTGGAAAAAAGCGTACGGTGTAATCGAAACCGGCCAGAAACGGAGTCACACGCTACTCAGAAATCATTTCAAGCAGATTGCCGATCAACTGTCTGTCTCATTCATTTTTCTGAATCAGAGAAGATTGAAGAATGATAAAATTCTACGATGGAAAATGGAACTGTCCCCTCACAGCTTCGATGTTGTCTTTAGACCCGGAAGCAGAATTTGGCCGCCAACGCACTGAGTCGATATTACTGTGGAGCTCTTCTCGCCAGATTGAAGCTCAGAGAACTTCATGATTCCTTGTACCACCCATGGGTATCTCGTATGATGCATTTCGTAAGAGTTCGCCAATGGCCATTCTCGATCGAAGAGGTACACAATGTAACAACGAATTGCGGAATCCGTTTCGAGTTAAAAGCTCGGTTACAATGCACCTTCGGGGGTCACGTAATTGAAGCTACAAAACTGTTCGAAAGAGGCACAATCGGTTTCAAGCGTCCACTGCCCTGTTCGACCCGGAATCAGTACTGCTTGACGATTATTGAAGAATACTGGAAGTTCCCTTTTGCGTTCGCTTGTGTGGATCTAACCAGTTGCACAGTTATCACTTCTTTTTGCCAACTGTTCTCCATGCTTGGAATGCCTGCTCACATATATTCAGAGAGGAACTCGCTTCATGTTGGAGGAAGTACAACACATTCTCCTTGAAAGAAAGGCGTTGCCACGAGCAAAACTACTCCGTACAACCCTCGTGCAAACGGCCAACATGAACGACTAAACGAGACCTTATGAAAAACCATTTTGCCCGCCTTGAAGTCCAAGAAACTCCCGGTCGAGAACTGGGAACAAGTTTTATCGGACGCATTTCACTCTATTCGTTCATTGCTGTGCACGGTGACAAATGACACAATAAGCGAGCGATTCCTCTGCTATGACAGACGTTCAACTTCCGGTACGTCCGCCGACTTTGAACACGACTCCTGGGGCAATCCTTTTGTAAAAGACCTTTAGGGCTTCCTCTTGTAGAGCAAGTCGAACTTCTACAATACAACCCATTTAATGCACACGTTCGATTCCGAAACGACAGAAAGGATACTGTGCTCATTCCACAGTTAGCACCAGAGGGTGTAGCGATTGCTAACGCTCAAGATAAAAATTAGAAGTAAACACCAACGAGGAACCTTTGCTTAACATGTCCGATACTGACATTACTGACACATCTGGTGAAACAACTACACAACATCACAATTCCGACACATCCGGTCTCTCCGAAAATGTACATACACCTATACGACGACAAAAGTGTGCGAGACCACATTGGTTGAGAAACAGAGATGCTTGGTGAACATTTCAAACACTTTTACTTTTGCAAACATACATCACATACTCATTCGTTGTAAACTGAGTCTTCAAATGTTAGTCGGACAGAATGACATAATATCTTGTCAGTCGCTTTTCTATATTATATCTCCTCACTCTTTTTAAACTTCCGTACATACGCCGCATACTGAGCAAAGCCTAACATTAGGGTCCTCTTCGTTCTGGTTTTTCGCTTATCCTGCATCGACAGTACCAATGGGTGTATTCTGCAATTATTGGGAGCGCTCAGGAAGAATTTTATTCAACTGAGAAAAGTGCCTTCACCATATACAATCATCGTGTACAGTTGTCTCAGTTTTGTCCGGACCGATCATCAATGCATATGCACCGAATCTCGTCGGGGGAACTAAGGTGTGATTATTCTAACGGAGCTTACAGGGATGGCCTTCAGCAGCTTATTCCAACTAGAGCGTTCAACAGTCGTAACGGGCACTTTGCCAAGCAGTCAGCCTCACTTTGATCAAACAAAGTCCAAGGGGTTCACTGAATACGCATTGTTCGTCGTTCTTAACATGGGGGAAGGGGTGAAACAGATGTATGCTTCATTAAAAGCTCTCGGTTACGAGTGGCAAGTAAACTTCATAAATTGAGTTTAGCATTTTACCAATCAAACGTGAGATGTACCATCCGTAACAAAGGGATGAGTGGAAATAGCTTGATTTCCCAATGCTTTAGTAAAAGCAGTGCCAAACTGCGCAAGAAGTCAGTCACTCTTACTTTGCCCTGGTTTGTGAGGTAGTGAAATATACATTTGATTATATTATATGCCATATATTTTTCGCATTGATTTCATCGGATTTAAACATTTTTAGGAATAGAGGAGTTGGCGGCGGCGGCTACGGTCAGCATCACATTGCCCTAACGGTTCTGTGTTAGAATCTCAGCATCACCGCTAGAATTTTTTGCTCTCATTGTATCTCGTATCAACTCTTCAATTGGCTGCATCTTTTTTCCTGAGAACTGATTTCTCCCTTGTTAGCTATTAAAACAATAAAAACAATAAAACTGTATTCATTTCAGTTAAGTTTAAAAAAACACTCGATTTACCTTACCTCAGAACACTTTTGTCTGGAACGGGTAATCCATTGAGATAGATCGTTCCACGGTCGAAAGCCCAATTTTCGTTGTCCATCACCTATGGTGGTTGCTGGTCGACTGGATATACATTTGTCCGAATCATGTTCAACATCGACTGCATGATCTCCAGACTTGAACCTAACTGTACAGCATCGCGCAAGTGCGTACACCATAGCGATACGCCAGAATAGACAAAAAGTAAAACCGGACGAAAAAAATGTGAACTTGGCAACAACCATTAAGATCCACGCAGCCAAAGGATGGCTTACGACCTCAAAAGACTTGCTGACAAGCTGAATGCTGAATGTGACGATGAGAAGTACGATTACACACATCCAAGCGAAGTCGGACAACGTGGTTAATAGTGAGACAAACTGATTGAAAGCGGGTTGCGCGCGATCAGCAGCATTCGATGCATAAGGGGGAGATAAGAATTCCGTAACTGGTGCTCGAAGCACCACGGCTTCCACCAGTTCCTCCAAGTGATCTTGCCGGACACAAGTTTCATCAATTGATATGTGTGGAACAGGTTTCCTTGAGTAAACCGAACCAGATTTAAGTTCTTCAGTGTCTCTCTAGAAAAAAATAATAACTTCGGTGGATCGTCGGACTCACCGAGAAAGAATGTACACGACAGTCGAAGTTGATACGTTGACCTTGCTTCAATAGTACAACGTCACCGTGCACGAGGAGAAGGACTGGAACCTGCATTATTCTGCCATCTCGAATGACCATCTGTATGTCTGAATCCAGGCAGTGTGGCACAATAACAACAGGCCTAGCGAGGGCGGGATGTGATTCTTCAGAACTAGAAAGTAGCTGTAGGACGTACCCAGATCATTCAAAATTCGATTCCTAACACGACTATTGTGATTCAACAACTGATCGGAGCTCCTAAGAAGGAATACGCAGCCAAATACTAGTAGTAAAACAAAGCCAAGTAGAATAAATATGTTCGCGGGTGCCCTAAAGATTCAAAGAATACAGCAGAATAAAGAACGCTTACATCAATTGATTGCCATCCAGTATAAAGCACACGAAGACGGAAATCAGTCCGATTACTATCTTAAAAAACCATATGACATCCGAGAACCACCAATTCATCAATCCGTTTTCGAATAACCGTGTCCTTCGACGATTTCGTGAATCAGAGTCAAAAACCGCGATAAGTTGACGTAACCGATCAAATGCCTCCTCTGAGCTTAATCCACTAGACCTCATAGTGATGTGAATTCATATAGAGCGGTTTGAAAACAACCCAATGTTCACTCCATCGAGTTATCACTGACTGCTGAAGGTACAGCAAATGCGACTGTCAGCGTCAAGGGACTGCCTGTGCACCGGAAAGATTAAGAAAACAGACGAGTAACAAGAACACTGATTAACTATCATACAAACGTCTCATTCAAAAACATTCGGGGTTGTAACCTTAACGCTGTTCGTGCTCCAGTCTCTCCAATACTCAATACATTAGCGATTGAGAGGATAAAATGAAAGATTAACAACTCGCAACATTTCTTCTTTCGGTTTTGAAGTAATGGAAAAAGGGATCCCAGTGTTTCGAATAAAACATCACCTTTGCCTGGATTAATAAACCAGCGTCTGAATCCCGACTGTTTGCCAAACAAATCACAGCACAATAATCTGTATAAAAAAACGTTTTGTTCACGATAACGAATGCCATGAAGACTGTAGTAAAGTATCACAGCACACTGATAGGATAAGGATAGGAACGATCGTCTTGGATGCGTGTGGGTGAAGTAGATATGAGCAAGCAAAAAGTGCTTTCCAATCCCAAATTGTCACCAATTGATTTTCGACCCTTCGTTCCACAAATAACCTCTGCTTTGTCGACTCCTGCAGTGCAAGTCAAGTCAACATTTTATTCCGCACCAGGCACTTTTTAATACCCACCCACTTTCTCCTGCATACCAAGCTCAAATCCGCCGGATGCTCGAACACTTCAGTCACGAATGGGGTGGAGTTTCGTATCCATTCTTTTGTCTTCGTGACCGAGTTCAACAAACTGTCTTTAAATGCAAATCGGCAGTCCACTCCACAGCACCAAACAATTGCTTCATCAGCTCCTTCCTATCATGGCAGAGGTATTTTCTCCACCAAAGTGAGAGGACGAAAAGCCATGATCCGGTAATGTAAAAGGACCGAAAAACCATTATCAGTTCATCGAAGGTAGCTGACAAAAATCCCGATTCCAAACCACGAAATGAACCGTCCCGGTTGCTGTAACCACCGTCTCGATTGACCCAGGCTACCAAACGTCTACGAACAACAATTCCAGCTCGGAGAACATACCACAACCGACATCCGCACCCCGAGCTACAATCATTCCACATTATTTCCCAAATTCATCTGTTTTACCTGAGAAACCAAGCAATATCACATCATCACCGTCAGCATTATCATCATCATTGTACGGCGCATATAGTGAAGCGAACCTTATCGATCGCTGCCAGACTCATAATGCATAAAAGGTAAGTGAGAATGTGTTAGGAGGATACGGATTGGGCCTATTTTGAGGGAAGAGGAAAGAAATCGAACCTCGATAGTCAAAACACACAATACACAATCCAATTGTGCATAAACACTATTTCAAGCATTCCGATCTGATAAAAGTGACGACAAGCTCGCCACTACTGGCGGGTGGCTGTGCTTCAGTGCCTCCAACCATCCAGCTACGAAGTCTTTTGGACCCCAACCCGGGAAACGAGAGACACCTACTCTACCTAATCGCTCTGTTCATTTCTTTATGCCTCGTCTCCACGTCATCTGCTGGCCTCCAAGTGGTTTTCTCCAGCCTGTAAAAGCCGCTGCAAACATGGTTCGCTGCGGTAGGCGACCGTCGGACATACGCAAAACGTGTCGTAACCAACAGAGCCTACCGAGCTGGATTCGATGAGATAGCGAGTTCTTGTTTGATGTATTCCCAAATACCTGACGACTTACGTCTAAGTTACTAACCCGCTCACTCCACCCCACTTGGGCCAGATTATGTAAGCATCAATTATCGAATACTGCTAAACGACGGGTGTCTTCTACCCGCAAATTGAAGATCTACAACCGTAAATCAGTATACGCGCCACTGTACGATCAAGGTTGACAACCAGTGAGCGAAGGATGCGATCAAGGGCTTCTGATACCCCACGTATGTATGGTAATGAGAGTTTCGTTTTCTTCTTCTCCTAAGGCATGATTGGACGAAACTTTTGGGATATCCGTGTGTGCGGAATTGATGGAACAGATGCATTCGTCCCTGATGCCGGAGTTCTGTGCTACAATATATATACATATATATGCATATATATGTATATATATGCATATATATATAATGATTGCAAGAACTGAACTGAACTTATGCGTAGGTTAGTTGTACATATGTAGTTAACTAAGAGTCCTCGGTCCCTCAGCTGATCGTCAATGATCATCTCATTAAGTTCGTTCTATTGTTCATTACGCAATATTGAACCGACTAGGGATTGAATGGGTCTACTTCATTAAGGTGCCGATCTGTTCCAGTGGCTGAGGTTGGGGCTTCAGGACGAGAAGAGAATCGCTTGTGTGCGCTGACTA